TGTGGAGGCCTCTGTTTTTGCCAAGCAAAACTGGCCAGTTCTTAGATTGTTGCTGCTTCATAGCATTCGATGTTTACCCTCCAGATAGTCCTTTGCCCTGCTTTGGTTCCCAAACTTCCTACTGTATCTCAGTCAATACAAGAGATAGGACCTAATATTAAAAACATACTCCCCATTAGTGAGAAATTAAAGAATGTGTGTGGATGCCAAATGGCACTTCTATTCAGGATAGCACTGTGTATTTTGTTGATGTTGATAAGTGCCATGGAATCGGTTCCAACTCAAAGTGGCCCTGCATAGGGTTGCTGAGGAGTGGTTGGTGAGCTTGAACCACTGACCTTGGTGTTCAGACCAACCGTAGGGTACTATATAAGTGTCCAATCTAATTCTGATCTTCCAAATACCAGGAGATATCCCAGGCTACAGTAGGAATAAAGTGGCATTCGACTCTGCAAATAGTCTAAGAGTTCCACAAACGACTCCTACAGAAAATAATTTCCATCCCTGTTAGACATTCTTGTTTTTGGAGGTATAGTTCTGAGTCATAGCTACCCTATGCGCAACAGAATGAAACACTGCCCAGTCCTGTGCCATCCTGACAATTCTTCTGTCTGAGCTCATTGCTGCAGTCCCTCTCACTGAGGCTCTTTCTCTATTGTGCTGACTTATTCCAAGCATGATGTCCTTCTCCAGGATCCACATGTCCAAAGTACGAGAGATGAAGTCTCACCATTCTTGCTTCTAAGGAACACTCTGTACTTTTTCCTAGACAGTTTTATTTGTTCAGCAGTCCACGATACTTTCTTCTTTTTCACTGAACCTCTTCTCTGTCAAGCATGATGTCCTTTTCCAGGGACTGGTCCCTCCTGGTAACATGTCCAAAGTATGTGAGATGATGTCTCACCATTCTTGCTTCTAAGAAGCATTCTGACTATACTTCTTCTGGGAAGATTTCTTCATTCTCTGGCAGTCCATGGTGTATTTAATATCCCTCTCCAACACGTAATTTACATGCAACAGCTCTTTCACTGGGGAAGGTAATAAAAGGGAGGGCCCTCATCCTTGTGAGTCATGCTATGAGAGGCATCTTGTGGGTGGCAAAGACATGTTGAAATGAGATCCTTCTCAAACTTTTGAAAGAAAAGTTTTATCTCTTGGTTTGCACTTGTTCAATGTAAACTTCTACTATATCACCTTCTAAGCTTGAAAGATTGTACCCGACAAAACTCTAGAGGATTTGGCAGATTTGTCAAAGGTAAAGAGCTCAGTATTTTCGTGATTTGTTCTGTTCTTTGTCCTATCAATGGTTCCAGAGAAGATAACTGCAAAGCAAAGGTAACCAAGTGACCTCTTATAATTACATTTCCTTTCCACTTTGTCTCCCACCTCTAGGAACAGGTTTCTACTCTTTGAACAAATTATTCAAAAACAAGTGATCATTTTTAAGGAAGTCAAAGGTTATCTCTTTAGTACAGACTTTGTAATTTCAGAAATGCTGTTAAGATTTATCTTTTCCTTAATCTACACATATCAGTTAAAGAATCTTTGTTTTACATGAAAGGCAGTACAGTTAAGTACCTAACTTAATTATTTACGAGGGACAGGACAGGTACGTTGTGTAAACTCTAATTCTCAATTTCTTCACATATAAGATGCAAGTAATATAATTACCTTGTTGGGTACTTGTAACAATTCATGTACTATTGTATGCCACTTAATGTCCACAATACCTTTATTTAAACAGGACATTATGTGTGAACCTTATGGGAACGTGCTTTCACTTATCCTGTTACTACTGCACCTGCCACCCAGGGACTCCTGGCAGAGGTGGAAAGAATGAATGGAGGGGGCAGGGGTAGTGGTGGCCAGAGCCAAGTGAAAGGAAGTGATGGAGGAGGGAGCGGAGTGTACCCTGCCCCCCCCCATCTGCTGTTCCATCCACATGTGCCATCACCACCACTCTCACTGCCTGCCCACTAGACAAAGCCCTAGAGTCCATGCGCAGAGTCATGTCCTCTGCCTCACTCACCTGTGTCCTACCTGTGGTCCATGCTGCAAGAGCCTGAGATTGAGCTCTTGAAAACCAATAGGGGGACTAATAGACAGAAGGAGAGCTGCTTTCCCTTTAAAAAAAAATCCCTTATGGGACCATGAACATATTATTGGTTGGACGTTGTACAAATGAATGTTTAGCAATGGATATCTGCAAACTGAACACATATCACTTAATGAGTGCACTATCCTTACTCAAAATCAAATTGCATTACAAACTATAATCATGTTTGTAATGCAATTTGATTTTTTTGTGGAACAATACAATGGAACTTTTGAATTGTTTTTACGGCTCACTCAATTAGAGTAGGAAGCGGAGTATCATCCAAAGTTTCACCCACAGTACAAATAGACCAGGAGATATGGAAATTCAAACTTCATGTATACATTAAAATCTACCTAAACACTGGCACATATACATACGTATTTACATACACAGTTGCATACAGATAATCTATATATAAATCAGAAAGCCAAGCCCAGTAGATTCTGATTTATAGAACAAAGTGGAACTTCTCCGTTTCCAAGGCTGTTGGTCTTTACAGAGGCTGACTGCCTCATTTTTCTCATGTGGAGCTGCTGCTGGCTTTGATCTGCTGAACTTTTGGTGAGCAGTCTAGCACTTCACTGTACCACATATACATATGTCTATTTCTCAAAAAAGTTCATGCTTTTGGAGACTGAAATTATTGCAGTGAGACCTGAGGCAGTGCATATTTCCTGACTGTAAATTCTGTGTGCTTCTTCCATCTTTCTATATTTTTAAAAAATTTGCCTTCAGTATAATGTTTCTACCTACTTTTTTCTCAATGTGGATTTTATATTTCCAGATTCACAACCTGAGGACACAGCACTCATTTTTAAAACTTCCTTTCCTGTGCAAGCAGGCACTTTGCACCACCGACCTTGGTGAAAACTAAATAAATAAAAGTCCGGTGCTTTTCCTACAGTGCCACCAGGGCTCTGTGAGGATGATGTTGCTATTGTTGTCATCTGCCATCAAGTCAGTCCTGACTCATAGTGACATAAAATGTATATGAATTGCAAGAATTTGAAACCAGTTTAGTCTCAATTTGAGGAGATACAATTTTCAGGAGTTACAAATGTGTAGCATCCTTCATTTGTTTTGGTTTTTGTCTTTTTTTCCTTTGTTTCAATGTCTGAGATTACAATAGAAACTAGATCTATTACAATAAAGCTTTAGGATAGAATTTTGTAAGGAGCTCTGGTAGCATAGTGGTTATGAATTGGGCTGTGAACCTTAAGGTCAACAGTTTGAAACTACCAGCTGTCCCATGGGAGAAAGATGAGGCTTTTTGCTCCCGTAAAGATTTATAGCCTCGGAAACCCTGTACAGGGTCGCTATGGGTCAGAACCGACTCAACGGCACTTAACAACAACAACAACAATAGAATTTTGTAAAGAAGAGCTACACTTTATAAGGTTTCAGACTATAAACAGTCACTGAGAATGTTTTGACTTTTCCTATTTGTTTTTCACACAATGAGCACCAGAAGCAAAGAGGGCATACTCCTTTATTAATTAGCACCTTATTGATGTCTGTTGTAGTTGAAGTGATGATTTAATTTGTTCTTCATATATTGTTAGTTGTTAGGTGCTGTCTAGTCAGTTCTGACTCATAGCGATCTGATGTTGCCTAATGGAACCACACACTGCCCAGTTGTGCCCCATGCTCACCATTGTTATGGTGTTCTGACTCTTAGTGATCCGATGTTGCCTAATGGAACCACACACCGCCCAGTCGTGCCCCATCCTCACCATTGTTATGTTTGAGCCCATTGTTGTAGCCACTGTGTCAGACCATCTCACTGGGTTGTCCTCTTTTTTACTGATCCTCCATGTTACCAAGCATGATGGTCTCCAGGGACTGATCCTTCCTGTTCTTCATAGGTTTTGCTTTTTTTTTTTAAGTGTTGCTAAGTCGGTTCTGACTCATAGTGACCCTGTATAGGGTTTCCGAGGAGTGGCTGGTGAGTTTGAAACGTTGACCTTTAATTTAGACCGACCTTCTGGTTCAGTACTTATCCTACAGTGCCACACCATGACTCTGTTCATCATTTAGGAACACCTTTTTTCTCATTTCATTATCGTTTCCATTTCTGTACAATTATTTAATGAAGAATATTGGTGATTTAATCTATATAACTACTAAATCAAGAATGAATAAGTACAGTTAGTCTTATAAAATCAGCATGGTATCAGTTTATACGTGAAAGTAATGAGTCTCAATGACAAAGACATAAATATAAAAGTCTACAAAATAAAGAACAGCTCAGTGTCTTTAATTCAGGCTTTTAACTTGTTCATATGTAATGCAATACTAAGGAGCCCTGGTGTGGTGCTGCAGGTTAATGCAGTGGACTGCAAGGTCGGTTTGAACCTCAAGGTTGGTGGTTCAAGCTCACCAACTGCTCCTTATACAAGATCACTATAAGTTGAAAGAGACTGGATGACATTGGACAACAGCAATAGTGCAATACTCAGGAGCCTTGGTAGGATAGTGAATTACAAGGTGGTATACTAACCACAAAGTCAGTAGTTGGAATCTACCAGTTGCTCTGTGTGCTCAACCAGTCATGCAGTACTGGAAGTGTGCTGGCACTGTGGGATAAGAACTGGACTATGAGCCCTAACCACAATGTCTTCACTTTGAGACTACTAGCTGCTTCACAAAACAAAGATGAAGATTTCTGCTCCCGCTAAGATTTACAGCCTCAGAAATCCTATCCAGATTCACCATGAGTCTGAACAGATGGGAAGATACTTAATGACAACAACAATGCAAAAAAACAAGATCTTTGGAATTTTCTGAAACATGAAGAAAAAAGTGGTCCTAAATTCAATGTGTGTTGCTTGCAATACCTTTGTAATGAAATCTTCACATATGCTAATTAATCTATTTATGTCTCTTTTTCCCCCCTCTGCAGTCCCTGGATGGATTTGTATTTGCACTAAATCAAGAAGGAAAATTTTTGTACATTTCTGAGACTGTCTCCATCTACCTAGGCCTCTCACAAGTAAGTGAACAATTTAAATTCTCAGTGGCAATTGTGAATGTTCCTTCAGACTCCTGCTTTTTCTCCTTTAAGTGATAATGTGGTTGAGCATGAATTATCAAAACTATTATTTAATGGTTCTACCTGACTCTTCTCATGTAGTAAGTGAGAAACCCGTGTGTCAGTATTGAATGTTAGGAATAAACTTGTGCTTAAAAACTTTCATCCCCCTGCCTGCCCCCCAAGGATCATTATTAATTTATTGAGAACAAATGAAGTTTCTTCCCTCGGTTGTTTTGAACTTTGAAACCTCTGTGCCCGGCAGGAGAGGGACACACTAATAGTGCTTCCCTGGTGTCCTATTACTGGATGTTTATGGAGTACCCTGCATTATCCTGGGAGCTGACACAATGACAAGGAGTCATTTGGAGTCAAGAAATTCTGAAAGAGACCATTAAAATGTGTTGCAGGGAGGGTTCTAGCAGTGGTGTATTTTGCTGCCTTTGCAAATGCTTCCTAATGCTGAAAGACAATTTCATAAAATAAAGACAGTCTTTCATTACATGCAGTTTAATTACTCACACGTGTTTGTCGGAAGTTACCAAGAAGAAGATGATGATGGAGGTAGAGAGAGCAAGGGACAAAATCCTAGATGTAAGTTGTTGATATTTCCCTTGAACACAAAAAATATTAGTTCCATAGGATTCTGAGATTTAGACTACCTCTGCAGAATGCTAAAATATTGTGAAGGAAAGTTTGCAATTCAGCTAATACTGCAGATGTTTTTCTCCATGAGAATGCAGCACATCTGAGTCTCTGTACCCAAACAGGTGATGGACTGAGTTTGACCCTTTGCATCTGGTGGTTTGGCACAAGGGAAACATAGCCTCAGTAGGAGGGATTTTGTATGTGTGTGATGATCTGCCAAGTTGGATAATCTACCTCTCATTTAAATGGCTCCTTGGAGCTAAAGACAGATAGAAGATTTGTCTCTCCTCTCTTCAGTGAAGTCCACCCTAAACTCACTGCTTCTGAATGTTGACAGAGCTCTAAAGGAAATATTCAGCATGACTGGAACCTTTGAACTGCTCGTGTGTTTGCTGTTGTTGTTGTTAAGTGCCTTCAAGTCAGTTCCAACTCATACTGACCCTGTACAAGATTTCTGAGGAGCGACTGGTGGGTTTGAATCAATGACTTGGTGGTTCAAACTGACCTTGCAGTCCAGTGCATTGTCCTGCATGCAGTGCCACGTTGAGTAATATAGCTAAATCAAGAAAGATGTTGGAAAATAATAGAGGTATTTGGCATTTGAGGAGGGTTGGGGAAAAGAGAGAAAATACAGCCAAATTGTATTATTTACTGTGAAGAATCCGAACAAGAGTCCTTTAACTCTTCCTTGAAGAACACGCAAGCTATTGGCTGCAGTGTGTAGAGTAATTCTATTTAAGTGGGTTTTAGCGAGCCAAATGATAGACACTGAGCTGTTGTGAATTCAGTCTTGGTATTCTTGTATCTCATTGAAATCCCTCATTTTGTAATAGACTTTAAACCCCCAGTCTTAATCTGTTTGGGACCTAGTATCAAGAATCTCCAATTTGGAAATTGGCTTACCATCATGATGTGAATACTGTCTAGAACTGGAAACCTCACTGTTTGTTGTTTTACACGGCCCATATTCATCTGTTTTATTTGTAGTATCCAACAAAGTTTAATAAGCCAGTCAAGAAGAAGGATGAATAATTAGTTTAAGCAGGTAAATGCTAATTAGGGAACTCCTGAAAAGCACCCATTATATACTAGCTCAAAACACATTTTACAGCCTGGTTAGTGGTGAAATCCAAATTCTGTCAAGGCAACGGCATTTTCTGTAATTGAGATGTGTATGTTTGCTTTGCATAACAGATGGCTCTGTATGCTTAGACTGATAGCTAGGAAAATAATAATTGCATTATTCTGGCCAAAAGAATATTAGCTGTTGGGTTTTGGCCATTTCAGTCAGTCCTCCTGCCAGCACAGCATATGCACATATATGGATTGGATTTTCAAGGAAATTGATGCATCTGGAATAGTGTGGCCATCTGAAATATCATCTGTTCAAGAAAAATTTGGCTTTAACCCTGTACTGGTTTCTCTTTAAAAGCAGTTTCTCTCATTGCTTCTCTCCGGTGGCATTGAGTCTTTTCGTTTCCTAAAGTCTAAGACAAGTAATTGAGGTCTCTGCTGAATAAAGCAGCATTGTAGGCATTGTACAGTTTGGGCACCTTCTTTGCAGTCAGAGCCGGCTTTTATACGTGGTAGATTTGTAAGTGGATACCAATAGTCAACATACTGATTCATCTAGGGTAGACTCTGGCCATAATGTGCTTCTGTAGCTTTCTCCTGTGTTTCCTGTAGCCAGAACTGGTCAGATACGCAGGTAGAGGCTATGGCATATGGGACAGGCAGCATTATGCAATGGAAAAGATGAAGGGTGAATCAGTGAACATGGTTTCTGCGTCCATCAATTTATGTCTTTAGCATTCAAAACCAATGTTGATGAGGAATTTGGGTACCATGGGAAAATAGTATGATAAGATGGTATGTTTCTAAATGCCAAAAGAATGAAGGGAGATGGGGATTGTAAGCTAAAATTTTGGGAAAGTGTTTCCAACTCAGTTAAGGTTCAAAATCCTGATAGGGCAATTGAGATTCCTGAGATGTAACCTTTCCCAAGTTTCTTGAATGTTCCTTTTCACTTGGGCTAGCAGTGCTTCTGGGTGACAGACAATGTAAAATATCCTCTCAGGTATTCAGTTAAGGATTACGTCTTTCACATATACATACACACGTACACTTACACACCCATCTTAATTTTTAAAATACAGTCCAAGCACTCCTATTCTACAGCATTGGCTAGGTGATAGTTCAGAAGTACAGATAGTGATAAAGTGCCTATAAAATTATGGTTCCCTTCTTTCTTTTCCAAATAGTTTCTTAAATAAAGGTATTGCTGACTTGGCGCCAAAGTCGTCAGTGAGTGAAATTGTTGAGGAACGTTGTGAACATACATCAGTTTGTTACTCATTGAGAAGCTGGGTCTGTATTTCTGACTTTCAAGATACTCCTTCCTCGTTTTACTTTAAAATGGCTTATGCTGAGGGAAGAGTTAGGATTCCTTTTTGGCTCATGAGAAAAGAAAGCAGGGGAAACAACTGAGTACTGCGGTGTAGCATGCAATAGAGTCAGCGAGAGCTGATTTTCTCTTTCATACTCCGTGGAGTGGAGTCCTGGTGTGGTGATGTCGGATAGGCACTAGACTCCACGGATGGCAGCTCCTCAGAAACCCTGTACAGGATCTCTGTGAGTCTGAACCAACTTAATGGCACTTAGCAACAACAACAGCAACAATTCTAAGGAGTGCACCAGCACCTGGTGTCAGAGTGTGTGTATGCCATTGTTCTCTGTGTTCTCATTGTTGCGATGATGGGAATGAAGTGGACTCTAATCATGGGCAGACTTCCTCAGCAACCCTATAGACTTACCATAGACACATACTTGACTTAACATCCAAGAAGTAGCTTCAGGTCTTAAAAATATGCACTGTTGGCTTGTGTAATGAAGAAGACTGATTCCCAGGTACTCAGCTTGAGGTTTTACCTAAAGGGAAGATCCCAAAATCTCTACGTTGAATTACGTTTGCATGGAGCAGAAGAAATGCCTTCTTATACCTGGGAGTGGCATTCAGAGATGCTTAAGACAACTGTGCTGTGTAGACCTCCAGCAATGTGAAAGCAAACAGAAGGAGGGAAGCAAACAGAACAGGCTCGTGAACACTAGAAATGTTGCAGTGATTTGTAGCCAGCTTTTATTAAATATCTTCCATCGTGAAAGGGGTTTTAATCACCACAGAAGTCACAAGGGAATTTACATGATAAATAAGAAGCATTTCTAGTTGGTATAAGACTTGAGGCTTAGAAAACTATTTATTTGTTGGCTTCCTCATTTCACAAAGAATTTGAAATTACTCATATAATTATATACAATAAAAGTAATGGGAAAATAGAACTAGGGATTCGGGGGAAAAATGAACAAAAGTAGGTCATCACTTCTATGTAATAAACGAATGCAAATAAAAGTTATAAGAAAGGGTATACATTTTCAAACCAAGCTTCACATTTAACTGTGAGCTCCCTGGTAAGCAAAGCAAAAAGGGAAGTATAACCAATCACCAAAAATAGCAAAGCATAGCAGTTTTTAAGGAAAGCAAAGTTTTGTTCTGGAACTTAAATCTGAAAACAATTCTCTGTTTATATTTCTCTTGGAGCTAACACGGATTATAACATCAGTTTGCTTCCATTGGAGTTCACTTTAATGACAAAACTCTAATAACCCAGGTTACAAGCATGAACATGCATTTGCAAGTCTCCTAAGTAGGCAGGCGGCACCAGCCTCTTGGACCCTTAGCCACTGGCATGCCAAAGTTTCAATCAAGAGTTGTGTTCTGACATCCAGCCTTCACAATAGCATTGACTTATCTCATGGTTTCTTTGGTCTGGATTTATCTTTCACTTTCTTTTCATCCTGATGAGAATCATCATTCTAGATGCCAGAGGCAGGTTCTCAGTTATCCAGAAGATAAACAAGAGCGTGTTTCCCCTGAAAATTTTCTGTGGAAGTGAGGTAGGTGAGGGATGATGTTCCTGATGTGCACATATGCTAGCAAAATGTTTTTTAAGTTAACACAGAGCCCCATTTCAAACAAAGATGAGATCTGGCACAAACTGGAGAAATTAACAGATTTTTACGGTGGTGCTATCATTAGAAAATACCATGCATGCCAGCTAAATCCTCTCTTGTAATGTGTTCTAATCACCCTCAATGCCTCCAGTGCCCAGCATGCATATAATGAGCCACTTCCCTTCTTCTTACCAAGTAGCCAGCCTCCTATAGGATATTTCCTTGCTATTGTAAGCCAGCCAGAAGGTAGCTGCAGACAAGGTTACAAATTGGTGTGTTTCAAGGGAGCTTGTTGAAAGGGGCAG